GGAGATGTGCTGACGGATGAACAGATTAAGGAGTGTGAAGAATTGGGGATTCTGGTGGATAGAGACGATCAAGGAACTCTGCTTCAGATCTTCACCAAGCCTGTGGGAGATAGGTGCGTAATTCAAAGCATTTCTTCTGCCCTCTTTAAATTCTGCTTCAAATTCTTACTGAATTTTTCACATAATATCTTCATAAACTTCGAATTGCTGTAGTCTCTGTATATAACATTATTAGCTTGCTTCCCTGTTTTTCCCATATCCATTGATCATCCCTTCTGTGGGTACAATCATTTGCTTATCATAGATATAATCGCAGAAAATGAGGAAAGGAAACGGGGGATTAAGAATCCACTGATTTTGCTCTTTTCCATGAGACCATTAACCAAGGATTTAAATGTAGGTGTTTCAAACCAAGCTTTCACGGAGAGAAATGAAAAAATATACAAGGCCCAACAGTTTCAATCTAAAAGAATAACACCTAACTCATAACTACTAAAAATCTTAGAAACCAACCCCACAGGAAGTATCAAATCAAATAAGCTCTTAAAGGATCTCTCCCCATAAAAATTCTATTGGTTATCTCAAGCCAAATTTCCCATAAAGTAGCGAGAAAACCTGCCTCCTACAAAAATCTTCAATACCAAAAGGGAAATGCAAATTGACGGGACTATAGAATTTGGTCAAGATCTTCCAAAACGCGTCTGAAAAGCACACACCACTGGAAGGTTTAAATATAGATGTTAATTGAAATATCAAGTCTTGGTTTTATGTTCGCCATTAATGATCATATCTATGTCAAACCCCTTTATGTTCGGCATTAATGATCCTTTCATGTCAATGTCAAACCGTTGAGCATAAACTTGACTAAACTGAAACATGGTTTTGCAGGCCTACCATATTTATTGAGATAATTCAGAGAGTGGGATGCATGATGAAAGATGAAGAGGGGAAAGAGTACCAGAAAGGAGGGTGTGGTGGGTTTGGGAAAGGAAACTTTTCGGAGCTCTTCAAATCCATTGAGGAATACGAGAAGACACTTGAAGCCAAACGAGTCTCAGAACCAGCCAGGGCTTGACAATCAATCCATTCACGTTCACTCAAACAAATAAGGTTAGTTTCTTTATACTTCTGTATTAGTTTTACTGTTTCTCATCTTAGCTAGTAATGGTGTGACTGAAACTGAAAGTAACTTCAATAAAATCAGCTATTTTTGTGTTGAATTCATCTGATAGCTCTTGAAATTTGGTTCGTTTCGGTAAGTAATAGGAACTTTTTTTCTTTTTTATACTCGTGATTGTTTCTTGTACGCGTCTTGACTAATCTCACATGACACTGTCTAACCCTAATGATTTGATTACCAGGGAAATTCGTAGGATATCAAATCCTAAGTCGGTGGCTACTATGATTTGAACTCGTTCTTTCTAAACTCTTTGCTATTTACATGGATCCTTATTACTAGGCTAACTCATGAGGAGTTTAATAGAATTTTGAAGAAATTGGGTCTACTTGGTGAGCACCCAATTTGTTACAAGAGACATAATCACTATCCTTTAAAGATCAAAATCAACCTTTTTAAGCCAATTCTCTGTCACAAGCTAGTGCATTGGATTCTTCAAAGGGTACTTTTAGTAACCAAGCAACAAAGCCAAAAATATATATATATATATATATATATATATAACATAGTAGAGACCGAGATATGTAACTTCATTATAAATTTTTAAAATTATATAAAAAATTATGATATATAATTTTGCCTTATGAAAATTTTTTGCACTACCATATTTAATGATGTCACCGGACAAACTTGGGTGTCTTGGCAGCCATAATCTAAAATAATAGAAGTGAATGTTCAAAGAGTCATCACATCCATGGCTCAAAGATCATGTGGTAATCAAATTGTGACTTGATTAGGGAAGTATCAAATTATAATATCGCAGACATATTGGCATTAGCGATATTGTTAATCAATAATAAAAGGTTGAATACATCATTGGATCATAATATTTCATAGCAATGTATGGTCAAGTACCGCAATAAAAATTAATAAATTGACGAGATATCGAGAACAATTGTATTCATCAACACTTCTACAACAGAATGTTAACAAACAAGAATTTCGATTCTGTTTTCGATCATGACGCATGTGCAATATGATCTTGCTGTACAGAATCTTTAGAGCCAACAGAAAACTTGGCGATGAAAAATCCAATTGTATCGAGAGGCGACGATGGATCAAACCTTTGAACAAGGTGTTCTTCACCGGGTCTTAACCATTCCCTGCAAAACCAAGCACATGACAAACATACAGTTGAATGTCACTTACATTCAGCTCTTGAAATCTATACACTATCCAACATTCACTTGCTCTCATTAAAGTTCCTCCCTTTCTACTCGTCTTTTTTCTCATGATCTCTTTGCACCTCTTTCCTTCGTAGAACTCCTTCCAATACATATATTTTTCCTTCTGTCTCACCTCGACTAATCACGGGCCAACTGCCTAACCCTACCACATTTAGTTGACAAGATAACTCGTAGGATATTAAATCCTAGATAGGTGGCTACTATGGTTTGAACCTATTCCCTCTAAGCCCTTTAGTCCTTTGCTATTTACATTGGCCATTCGTTAAGTTTTCATGTTCTGGTATATTTGTGACTAGTTACGTGCATTTTTGTGGCTGGACAACTATTTTTGTGGAAATGGTTATTTAGGTCATGTTGAACTCTTTTTAGTTAGTTTGAGTATTTTATCATTGAGTTTGGGAACTTCTTAATCTACTTGGTTTTGTTGGAAAGTTTCAAGTCTTTTCAATGGGGCTAGGCATTTCCATGGCTCAACTTTGAGTGTTTGATGGGTTGAATATTATATGATTGGAATTGGTTTGTGGGAAATTTAAATTTAGGATTCGATTCTCGAAAATGAAACTTTAAATTTAAATTAACTCAAAGTCAAGTATATGAATAACTAGAAAACTAACACCAAGTCAAAGCACTTACTCCACAGAATGATCGGCAAACTCAAAATGACCAACAAGGCCAGGCCCTCCAATCCTTGGATGCTGAAATACAACAAAGTTGCAAATATTAATGTGAACCAGAAAACTCGGATTGTTCAAAGTCAGTGTATACTGTATACTAAAAGAGCAAAGCTTCAAGATGTTATACCTATCTATTGCATTACCTTCCTCCCTTAAACGACCCCGTTTACATTATCATTGGCATAAAATGCTTTTTTGAAACAAATATAGATTCTACGTTTTTTATCAATTTTATATATTAAATTGAGACTTTGCTTTTTCAACCAAAAGACCTTAAGGCTGGCACCATTTACAAGGGTTCGAAATCGCAAACTCGGTCTCTTGGTGATGAAAAAGATTAAAAAAAAAACGGTGAGGAAACTGTAATCATGTACAATCTAACCTGTGGTGCCAAGGTTAAGAACTTATGGTGATGAAAAAGATTAAAAAAAAAACGGTGAGGAAACTGTAATCATGTACAATCTAACCTGTGGTGCCAAGGTTAAGAACTTATATGTATCCAACGCATATCGAACCAAAGCTTCATTCTCACCCGGGTTTATTGTACAGCTGACAATGTAAAAATATTACAAAAAGGTTCAGTTGAAATTAATGACCACAACGAAATTCAAAATAATATTAATTATTACAAGTAAAAAGAAATCAGGGCAACTATTTCTATACTTTGGAGACCAAACCAAGTCCTTTCAACGTATTTGCAAGACAATATTAGAATTAAGCTCAATGTATGACAATATATGAATTAAGCTTATCTCCAAAATAATTATCTTGGGATCCGAGCATCCAGCTCTAAGAGATATCAAGGCTTTTTAAGGCCTCATTTTTTAGTAACCATTTCGTTTTTAGTTTTCTATTTTTAAAATCTATGCTTCCTCAATTTTCGGGTTTGTTTTTCACCATTCTTAAACACATTTCATTATTCGGTCAAATTTAAAAACAAAAATAAGTTTTTAAATTTCAAAAACAAAATTTGGCTTAAATTTTGAACTGTTATTGGAAAGAAGTTAACAAAACAAAGAAATAAGGAAAACTATTTATAAGCTCCATTTTAAAAGACGAAAAAACAAAAAACGAAAAGGTTACCGAACAAAGTTCTTAAGTTATTAAAGAGAGAGAATTAAACATTAAGTTCCTGAGTTATTAAGTTCCAAGAGCAGACATTTTATCCAAATTATACCGACAAAGTTGCATACTCACGTTGAATATACAATGACTCCACCCGGGCGGACTAGTTGAACAGCTTGATCAAACATGCGTCTCTGATACTTTGCATGGTTTTTTAATGATGCAATTGTTTCCTGGCAAAAACAATACATTGACCTCAAGTTTTGGTTGGACTTGAACATTATAGAGATATGAACGTAAAAGATGCATTTGGAAAGAAATGAAGTGATTTTACCTCCCCGGCGAATAGTCGAGGTCTTAAACCGAGGGCTGAACAAGGAGCATCCAGAAGGACTCTGTCAAAGCTGTTGGGGGCAAAACCTTTCGAGTTTTCGACTCTACCACCCACGCATTTATTTCTTCCTGGACCATTCCGTGGCCTCCTACCATTCTTCTTTAGGTCAGCTTCATTAACAAAAGTTCACTCATTCACTTTTCCATGGTTGATAAAAGTTTATAAGAAACTGATCTAATTTGCAATCATATATATGCTGCAGTCAAATAAGTGAGACTGGAAAGAACAGAACTATGGTAATAAGTGTGATACTGCTCTTTCGTCCAAGCTTCAAGTTAAAGAGTTCTTCCTTCAAAAAAATAATAAAAGGTGACCAATACAAGTTCTTAAAAGGAATCCAAAAAGTAATAAAATTATACCCAAACAAAGAATAAACAATACAAATTTTCAAATTTAGATTATCAAGATTCAAGGAATTTTCATGAGCAATCATAATAGTCAAGAACTAACTAATTCGGATTTAGATAATTGAGCTTCAAGGACTTTTCAATTAAAAAATACCCATCATAACAAATGCACAGCATGTTTAAGAGGAATCATGGAAGTTTATTAACATTTGTGATACAGCCCCAAAGGATGGGGAATCAAAACCCCTATTCAATTCACATAACATGTCAGTATTACTTTTTTATAAAAATAAACTAATAAATAGTAGTTTCTTAAAGCCATAAGAGAAAAGATTACCTACCATTTTGCTTTATGGTCTCATCAACTCCCAACACTTCAGTAGTTGCGGACAGCTTTTCAACACCATTGTTAGTATCAATGCAAACCGAAGTGGTGCCTTTGCAGGAATCAGTTTTTCGATTGACAGATTTAAGAGCATCAAGCTTATAGGTAGTTATACAACTCAACCCCATCTCAGCAGCCAGTTTCTGAATATCCATCACCTGAACATAAATTTGAGAAAGGATTAACAAAGAAAGCAGACCAATGCGAAAGTATTTAAAAATATTCTTGGAAAAAGAAATAGCCTCCACGGTCTAAATCCAGGATATGAAAAACAATGCTTGAATTGTTCAACAGTGCATGGAGATGTGAAACGTAAAGGAACGAAAAAAGTTGAGGTCGGACTCCAATAACAACATAGATTACTACAGTAGTCATTCATGTTTCCAAATCCACCAAACTATTTAGTGAAAATTACATCTGCTTTTAAAAAAATACAACTTCTTTGACAAGTGAAAAAATTTACAAGTAATCACTCTTAATAATGCCAACAATATACTTCAGTACTTCTCTTAGTTTCTTAGCAATAGACTCTTAAAAGAGGACCCACTGTTGAAGATATATACTAATAAAATTTTCATACCAAGCACAATTAACAGCATGGAGTTCATAACAAGAATGCTTGGCACATATAGGAAGCAGCTATGATATTATGATGAATTGAAGTCCCCTTGGCCATATATCCAGCTCATAATTGTACCTTATTGTGAGACCTATCAGCAGCAATGACCTCGCCTTCATCCTTCATAAGAATTGCAATTGCAGTTGTTTTCCCCCCAGGTGCCGCACACATGTCTAATATACGTTCACCTTTTTGGGGATCTAAAGGTGTGAAATGGGATTGAGGAAATCAAAACATGCATCTTTATAAATAAAAAACAAAACAAGGATACATGTGAAAGAACGACAAACTAGGAAAATTTTATAATAATGGTTCAACAAAATTCATTATAGAATCCAAATCTGAAGAAACTTCATAGTGAAACGTAAACTTTGAAGTTGCTAAAACAAATATAGGGCTGTTGAAATTACCTAAAGCATGAGCAGTGACGATGCTTGGTAGGTTTTGAAGAAATATTTCTCCCTCAAGCACATCTGTCAAAGAGAAAATATTAATCTTAAAAGCAAATATGTTAATGTAAAACAATCACAATTACAGACAAAATGTTAAGATTAAGTTCCAATCCTATAGACAAATAATGATACAAACAGAACCATACAAACCGACCACCAAGTACTCTTTTGTATACTTAGGCTTAGGCTTAATATTTTTCCCTTTCCTTGGTACAACAAGATGTGGAGTGAGATTTCGAACTCACGACCTTTTAATTGGGGATATATGCCTTAATCAGTTGAGCTACGCTCAGGTTGCATTGGTGCTCGTATTGAAAAAAAAAGTACAATAAACTAAGGTACAAGGATAAATGTACCATGAAAGGATGGTAGTTTAAATACTCTATTATTCATGTCCACTGCAATTCCTTCTGTAACACGAAATATTCCAGCCCTTGACAATGCCGTTGTTCCTTGGCCAATATATAACCCACTCCTTTCAGAATGATAAGGATCTGCAATTAAAAAAACAATGAAAGTGTAACATTACTTATTATAACCTCTAAATATCAGAAAAATAGTCAAAATAATAATGCAGTTAAATTAGTCTTGTTTTCTAACCCAAAAAATAGAACTAAAAGTTAACTTCGGACCAGCTAGAGTAAAGCACGAGACAGTGGGGAAAATGATTGAACTACACATATTTTCTGGAGATAATAATTCTCCTAATGAAATGGAAAAGATATCTATTCTAAGCAGAGGACTACATCAAGTAAACAAAGCTACATAGGTCTTCCAAACAAATGAGAAATAACATATATAAGAACGAAAGTGATTACTAAAAACGGCCTCCCATCCTTTTAAACAAAATAGATTATCCCTAACTCTAACTGATATCCTCTATAGTTGCCCAAGACCAATAACAATTACCAAAAGAAAAAATTACAAGCTTAGCGCCTTAGAATGTTAGACTAAAGAAACTAAAGTTTAGTTAATCAAGTTATGAAGGCACTTCCTACCAGTCGGTAAGCCCTGCACAACAGTCCCTCGAGTAATACCAAGACTCCATCCACCATCTAGCCCAGGCTGCTCCACAGCAACTGAAACAGCAACTACGTCCCCTCTCTCAACATGAGCACTGCAAGCCATAACACCAGGAACATAGACCTACATGAAACTACGATCAGAAAAATGGCTACATGATAAACGAACAACCAAGATTAGTAGAAACAAAAAATAGGAAATTTAAATTATAATAAATAGATATATAATTTTTTGTAAAAGAATTCTCTTAAAAATGAATAAACCACCACTCAACCCAAAAGCTTAAGCTAATGAGTTGGGTAAATTTAATTCATTTATATGGACTCTAACACTCCTTACTTGTGGGCTTGAAAAATTACATCAAGACCCAACAAGTGGAAATCATAATAAATTGGGAGGAAACAACTGCGCAGGGATTCGACCACAGGACTTCTCGCTTTGATACCATCTTAAGGATGAATAAACCACCGCTCAACTCAAAAGCTTAAACTAATGGATTGGGTAAATTTAATTCATTTATATGAATTCTAACAAATTCCAATAAAAATGCCAATAGAATTTTTGTGTTGTTCTGCATAACAATCTCACAAAAAGAAAAAAAAAAGAAAAAAAAAAGCTACCTGAGCACCTCGAAGAACTGCTTCAGCACATTTTCGGCTCACAATCACTTCTTTTGGAGGTCTGCCATTTGCATAACCATAATCAATTGTGTGTGGTCCTGAACCCCTTACAAATACAACATAGTCTAACCCAGGTACCTGACACCTTGAGATGGATGGATGTTGATACTGTTTACCAATTGGGTTTTTCTCATCTTCAATCCTCACTGAGGCCCTCTGGCTGCCACTTTGCATAAGTTCAATACCATTGACATCAACATCACCACCATTCAATGTTGTATTTTCAAAATTTGAATATCCCGTTTCTTTGACAATAGTTGATAACTTCTCAATAATAGTATTGGTTGTGGACTTGAGTGTATTTACGCGTATACATGAATAGCCAGATGGATGCCTGGTCATTAGGATAAAATATTTTGAGTATATCATCTACGTAAAATATTAGTACCACCACAAACATAAGATCGTAACAAATACTTGTTAACAATATATCAATCTCGATGTCAGATGCTAATGCACCGCACACGATATATTATTTGCACCTTTAAATGGACAGTACTATTAGATAGCGAGCAACAACTAGTGTTGCAAATGGCTGTGTGAAGTTGCACAGAAAATCAGGAACAGTGTCCTCCAAAATTGAACTATCCCAATGTTTAACTAATGGTGAATATTTGCAGATATCGTTGACAGGTACTCTAAGCAACTTTTTTTCTTGCATCGCTGGTATATTAAATACCCATTACTAAAGTTTGTAACCAAACTATTTCATTGCAGCAGAATCTCCGGGTACGATAGGCACAATACGAATAATGACGTGCTTCAAATAACTGAAAGCGTAAGAATAAACATGATAATTTGTGTTATGACGGAACATAAAAGACATTTATAAAGAAGTTAAAATAAATACGCCGTGGACAAAAATGCAATAGTTTCACAAATTCAATAACAAAAACTCCTATATTTTCCTAAAAATATGACATATTGGCGCTTGCGTATAAGTAATCATGCACATTTAGAATCTCAACACCCGTGATTACACTAAGACTTTAATCAAGATCAACTGAGTAAACATTCAAAAACAGTACTGATGAAAATTAAATTCAGTCGGTCCTGTTTCTATTGGCGATTGGCGACCATACAGAGCATTATGGAGCTCATGTCTATGGAGAAGACAATAGTATAAAAGTGAAAAAGAAGAAGAATAGTACGTTAGAGCTCTAGAAATGAGGGCGAAATGCTCCGCTCCGTAAGCCTTCATGAAATACTCCTCCACCTGAGGATTCCATCTCAAAACAGGGTTGTAACTGTATCTTTCTGCCAGATCCTCCATCTGTTGCGCCATTTTCTTCCAAGTTAAGCCACAGTATGGAACATGAACGGATAGGAGATAGAGAGGGAGAGAGAAACCTGGGGTTTAGGGTTTTGGAGAGTGACGAAGGTTCTGCAAAAGGTTTTGAGAAGACGGTCCCTCACTTTCTTCATTCGAAGATAGACTCGGCGAGAACGCGAAGCTCAGCAGCAATGGCGGCAAACAGCGAGCGAGATTGGTATGCATGGGACCGATCGTTCGTCGCTTTGGGCTCAAGCCCAACCATCCTTAGTTTTGGGCCCAAGCCCAATTATTCGTCTCAACAGGCCCAAGCTCGATTTATCAAATTTAAGTGTCACGAATTTGACAAGTAAGGGTGTGTTTGGGAATGAGGGTATTTAAGTATAATTTATTTTCTATACCATGTTGATGAATAAACCACCACCCAACCTAAAATCTTAGGCTGGTTAGTTGGATAAATTTAATTATTATCTCAACATATTTATTTATAAAATAGTTATTTTTTAAGATTTTAAAACTAAAATAAATATTTTAAAGTGAACTAAATCCAAAATTTTAAAACCACTAAAAATTTATCAATAAATCATAAAATTCTTCCATGAAAANTTTTCTTTTTTATTTTTTTTTTGTACGTTTGAATTGCATGGTTGACTTTTTTGTAGGTGTTCTTATCGTTTATTGGCAAAAATTTTGTTATATTTGTATCTCAGTTTGTGTAATCTTTTTTTCTTTTTTTGAAGTATACTTAAATTTTGCTAAAATAAATTAGAAACCAAAATTGAACAAAGTATTAAAATAATATTTAAGTTAAAAGTCATTGGCTTTGGCCCTAAGAAGAAGAATAATAAAAAGAAATAGCATCTGACTCTTTTACGTAGAGACAAGTGTACTCATGACACCATTTTTGGCCACAATTGTACATCAAAGTTGGATGCCCATTTGGCAACTCAATTTGTGGAAGGGGTGGCTTTTGACTCTATTTAAAAATAAATAAATAAATAAATAACTTTGATTTCTTTCCCCTTTTTTTTCTTGTTGAATGTGGAAAATTTTGTTAAGAGTGGAGATGGAATTCATCATCATTGACTTTGCTTAGTTTTTTTTTTTTGGGCTAAATTAATCTAACCTTTTTATTGATCCATTTTAATACTCTTGTTGATTTATTGGATAAACCATCACCCTCATTTTAAAGTCAATAGTTAGGTCTATATTTGATTAATCGTGAGGAAAACGTAATTAGTTATTGTCTAAGTGATAATATAATTCTGGTAATATAATTTTTTATATATATAATTCAATATTATTAAATACATGTGGTAAATTTTTAATATATTTTTAAAAGTGGTAGAATGAGAAGATAATAACTCGTTGATTTTACCAGTAATTTATTATTATATTTAAATGAAATAAATATTTATGTTGAATAAACGGAAAATAACGAATATATTATTACGATTGTATACCCTACTTTGATACTTCAACTTTCATGTGTTATAAACTTCCAATAATTTCATTTTAGCTCTTATACCTTGCATAAAAAATGACTAATTAAATATATTTTTTTTCACGAGTCATTTAATAGAAAATATTATCTATGGAGTACATTTTCTTTTAGCTACACTTTCAATTTTTATATTCTACCTTATTCGAGGACTATTTGCATTCAGCCAGTTAATGATACACGCAAAAAATGATGCTTGACAAGTACCAGTCTGTGCTAATGTCTTTTCATATTTGTTTGACCTCCTTCAAATTTTTATCTATATTTCATTCCTGTGTAGATGTCAAGCTTTAGTTCGAACAACGCTTTCTTATCCACAAAACCAACTACAATATATACAAACTTGTGATAAAACAATATCACCCAACATTTTAGCTATTGTTTTCCTCTAAAAAAATAAACATTTTAGCTATTATTTTAAATTATACTTGATTATTATTTGAATAATTAGGTATAGTCTAAAATGAAAGTGGACTCAATAAGATTGGACAATCAAAATGGAATTAATTGACTAAATATTTGAGTGGAGGTGGTGACTTTTGAGGGAAATGGCTACCATTTTGAAGGAATGAAAACCATTAATAAAGTACACATTCTATGCACAATAAATAATAGCCTTAAAATATTATTAATATGAAGATGCATAACAAAAGAATTTTACCCATTAGTCAACAACAAAATTAAATTAATATCATAAAAACTAACAACTTATTCTTTTAATACAAACATTATAATATTATGTCATCATTAAATTAGACCAAAGACTCCTTTAGTTGACCCTACCTCAGTCATCCTCCACCAAAATGATGAAGAGAAATAAAATGTAAGAAATAGCAACCAAAATCGTGATTACTATTTAGTATTTTGAAAAAAAGTTATGATTTTAATTTTTATTTTAAATTTTTAACATAAATTTTATCTATGTATTATGGCTATGATTCAATAAATTTAATAAATAAAATATTGTTCTAGAATTGTGATAAGAAGAAATGGAGTAAATATTAAAAATGAAGGGACCGGATAAAAAGAGAGGGATCAAAATCAAAGCATATATTTCAAAAGTACATGAACAAAAATTGAAATGAACGTTGTGAAAATACAGGGATCAAAATGAACCAAAGTTAAAAGTAGAAAAACCAAAATAATATTTCTAACTTTTTTAATTATAAATTTAATGATTGAAATTGGGAGGGTGTGCCTAATAAAATTTTGAAACTTTAAAAAGCGTATAGATTAGTAAATTTTAAAAATTGTATTTAATAAGTTTCTAAACTCTACAAAATTGATAATAAATCTTTAAATTTTTACTTTTATATCTAATAAATCTTAGTTATTATTGTTGGGTTTGTAAGGAATGCAAACAAAGTCTCACGTTGGTTAGAGAAGTGAATAATTATGGGTATATAAGAAAGGACAATTATCTCTATTGGTATGAGGCATTTTTGGTGGAACCAAAAGCAAAGTTATGGACTATTATGAGATACATGGGGTACGAGCGGTATCATTCTCCAGTTATATGTATTAAATTTCTAATTTAGAAGCCACCTTCTAAAATTTAAATCTCTGTTAAATATTTTTAGACGTTTTCAACATTTAAACGAAAATGGTTCATGAGACTCACACAACTCTCAAAGTTGGACAAAACATGGAATTCAATTTTTTTCTTTTTTTCCTTTTCCAAACTCAGTTGTCAAAGTCAAAGAAGAGAAAACAAACCGGGTCTCACAGTTTTAACCTCCCAAACACGACACAGAATCCGCTGCACCCATTCCTACAGTATAACCCACCCTTCGCCCACTGAAACTCGTCCGATCCCAGTCCCAGCAACGTCCACACCAATCCAACGGTCCAGATCAACCGAGCCCGTATAGACGACGGTAGTTAAAAGTTTTCTGGTAGTTGGATTGTTGAGTGCGTGGCGCAAGGGCATGTTTGTCAAATGGCAGCCTCGAAATTCCAATACGTTTATTTTTTGGGTTCCTTTATTGGAAAACCGAGCGCGAGCGCACCTTGTGTTCATATACATGAACTTTTTTTGAAGAGTGCATGGGTTTTGTTTTGTACACTCCAAGAATTGTTAATGGCAGACAGCCAAGCCAATTTTTAGGGTTTTTTTGCACTTTCTTTGTGTTTTTATTGGAATTTGGATGTGTGTATTGATTTTGTAGAGGAAAAATATGGAGTCCATTTTTTGGAAGCAAACTTTTTCTTTTTTTTTTTTTGGATGTTTTTGATAAGATTGATTAGTGGGTTTTGTTTAGTTTTTATTGTGTGATATGAGGTTATCTTTTGTTTTTTATTTATGCATTTTCAATATTAAATGATGTTTTTTCCTGATATATTAAATTAAGTTGGTTTTTAACTTAATTGGATGTAAGAATAGTGATAAATATTTGAGAGTGTCTCCATTTGATTGTAGTATTGTTTTTTAATTAGTTTTTTTAGTTATGATTTAGTAATCAAACATAAATTTTTTGATATCATAAGAGTATTAATTTCCTCTATTTACACTATAATTTTTTTTAAGATATATATCATATGATGTTGATGTGGCTAATAGTAAATTAGAGTAGTATTCATATTTCTAAAAGTCTCACCTAATTAACCATCAAAGATTTGGTAAGTTTTGATTTGGTGGCTTGTACAAATAAAGGTTATTCTAATATAGAATTAATAGATTTTTGGATGTCCGAAATACCAACTTCATCTATTTTATTTAATATATATCATTTTTTAAAACAAATAGTTCAAGGAGGAAGGACATTCCATATTTAGCCAAATTCTAGACGAGAATACCCCTAAATAATATTAAGGTATTTCATGCGAGTCCAACAAGTCGGCCTTCGGCCTGACATGTCCAACAGTCAGTCGATACCCCAACCTATAAATAAGGTACTTCACGATATCGCATTCTAGCTCAATCTCTCTACTAAAGTCGAACTAAACTAACTTGTTAGCATCATAATATTTATTTCTTTATACAGATTCTTCCTTGCCAAGTAACCTTCCAATTACTCATTCTAGACATTCAAGTTCTCCCTATCAGCAGATTTTGATAAGCTCGATTTTGACCAACTTTTGTTACACAAACGAATGGAAAAATTAAGATTTCAACTTTCGATTTTTTAATTAAAGATATATATTTTAACGCATGATGTATTATTATTGTTCTTTTTATAAATCCTACGCAAGTGTGAAAAGTGTAAAAGAAAATCAATGTAATATCTATTTCAGAAAGAGGGCACATGAGATGTAAGAAAAACAGGTGAACAACCCATTTAATGCCATCTGTCCTCTGCACTGAAAGCAACAACAACAACAAAAATAGAAATAAAAAATGGGGAAATTATTCTCTGCTTTTAATAAATATTTACAATATTGTTATTATTGGTTTTAAATATAATTCGTTTATCCAAATTAAAAAACGCCTGCTCACTTGTCAGAGGGAATTTTTAAAATTAATTGACGAATTTATTTATTTGACTATGAAGGATTTCGTAATTAATTTTCCTTCGGTATATTACACGATTGCAATTGATTGTGGAATGGAATAACTATGATGTTTAAGTATTTGGTCATATGTATCTATACTTTTATTTAATAATATTTAAGTTATCAAAGAGTAAATGAAAAACTAAATTGGTATATAAAAATAAATAACTAAATTTAATTAGCCAATCAATATTATTCTCAACGCATAGTTAATTCAATTTTACTTAATTTATGAAGTTTAAATAAATTAATCGAAAGGTAGTGCTTAGAAAGACGATGGAAAGCACGCATGTGAATTCTTGAATAATGATTTGTGGATCCAACAAAATTTTTGTAATCGGAATATTTGAAGGACAAAACTTCCCTCTTGAAGATTGAGGAGGAAGCTTATCTTGATTTCATGCATGGTCCAATAGCATATAAACCAGTAAATTTTTTAATTTTGTATAATTCCTATGTGATCCACTTGTCTATATGTTACGGACCACATATGAATTCAGGACGAGCTTCCTCGTGAATCTTCAGATGGGAAGTTTTTTCCATATTTGAAAACGTTGTGTTAACTTGTTCGATTATAGAAAAATTTATGTATATTTTTTGAAAATTGATAATAGTAATAATAATAATAACCCAAAACTAATTTACTAGTTAAATTATTTCATATAAATTAGTTATTTGATAATGAAATCACTCAAATCTATTTTATTTGTTGATATTAATTAATTGTCTATTATTTGTTTTTATTGGTCTCTTTTTTTTTTCTTTTTTTGTTGACATAATTGTTTTGATTGGTTAAAGGCCCATCAGAAATAAAGTACCCAATTGATGGTCATCAATAAATATCAGTGAAGGAATTAGTAATTGTYAATGTAACTAAATATTTTGTGCAAAAAGAGGACAAAATAACTAATTACATCAAACTTTAATGTAGCATATTACATTAATGTCCACTAATTACATCAATCAATAATGTCATTAATCAATTAAATAAAAATTAAAACTAACCACACCTAATTACCTAGTTTTGAATAATCAAGAYTAATTACTAAGTTTGAACTATACAAACTATAAGAGTATGAAACAAATATAGATAATTCTTAACCAATTTGAGGATAGAACTAGGTAGCTATTATAATTCAAAAAGTAAAAATCAATTGTCCACTTTGAAATTATTTGAAATTACATATAAAAAACACTTAAATTTTAAATATAAACAACAACATTGCACTATTTTTAGAACTAGAMATTTTTTTTAACTATTTTAATACAAATACAATTTTTGAAGCAATCAACTGTGAATACACTATCCATGTACTTAGTGGCCACTTTTGTCTACTTAAATAAATATTGCACGGTTGTTTTTTCTCATATTTTTAGTAAGTACGAGTTTGTGTTTAAATTTTATACAATATAATAGGTTATATAAGTTTAGACGGTTGATTATTAAGTTGATAATTTATAGAAGATAGTATGCCGTATAAAATATTAATTAATGAGTTTAGTTTATGTAACACCAACGAATATTTTTTTAAATATTATTGTTTTTAAAATATGTATTTTGTCCAAACTACTTTAAAAAATATTATAGCTTTGAAAAACTATTTTGTAAAATAGGGTTGTTTTGACAGATTTATTACCAAGTTTACCATAGGTATGAAATTGCCGATGATTTCATGAAGAGAATAGTAAAATTAAAATTCTTGTAGTACAATTGTTATCTGCTCGTAAGATATTTCATGAAGAGACGTACCATGACATAGCATATCACGACTTCCCCAAATTATTTATCAATTTCAAACCTGTAATATTCTTGAAACTAATTTCATAAAATTTATATTTTCGTAATTTTTTATTTCAACGGTATTCTTTTAACTTACTAATATTTTCATGTTGAATTACAATTAGAAAGCCAAACATCGGTAAAAAAAGGGAAAAACAAAATTCATTTTGTAATAAAAATAAATCTGAGTCACACTGTGTACAGTACAAGTTGATTTTGTTTGACATGACTTTGGGGTTATTTAAGTAATTTCACGCATTTGAAAGGTGGTTTAGTAGGTAGAGAGATGGGGTCTAATCAAGGATGATTCATGGTATTGTAAGCACATAGTGGAGTTATATTTTAATAAGATCCCTTCTCAAATTACTTTAATGATATCTAAAATATTTATTATTARTTTTTTCTTTCCATATTTTACTTTTTATAGCTTATATTTGGTTTCAATTTGATCCGTTTATTAAACTTTATAAATCATTTTTGAATTATATTTTATCCACCTCATTTTCCATAAATACACACATTTATATATCAATAACTTGTAATTGACATTCACAAATTTAGAGATTCGTACAAATTAAAAATTTTTAAATTATAGGTACTAAATTGAAATTGAAATTTAACCACAACTTTTTAAAATGATAAGTACCCAATTAAAATTTTTAATTATTACTATTTTTTAATACAACAAATCATGTGAGAGTGTATGTCTGGTATGGTTGATTAAATTATTTAAAATTATATATATTAAAATTGAAACTAATCTTGAATGAGTAGGATTAAATCAATAATTTAACCAAATAAAAATAAATTTAGAAGTTGAAACAGGTGTTGGAAATAATTTTAAGAAAATAAAAATATAAATGGTCGAATATTTTGAGAGGAAAATAAGAGAGAATTATAAAAATAGCACAAATATATATATATATATATATATATATATAACTTTTTTAAAACAGAATAAAAAGTAATGATATATTTTTTTAAAATAAACAAAATAGAACGGTCAAGATTGGGAGGGTTTTGTCGAAGTTGCAGACTAAAAAGGCAGCTTTTTGAGCTCGCACGGTATTATTTTAATGCCGTGTGGCTGAAGAACGAGGAAAGCGAGTCCACGAAGAACGAGTTGACCAGGTAATTTTTTTGGGACAAAATTATTATTATTTATCTATGTACTTAAATATTTAAAAATCTAAATTAAATAAATAGTACAACTAATAATCTCAATTAATTAGACTAATTCGAATATAACTACGTAGATAAAATAATTATTCATTTTTTAAGGTTAAAGTTCGATTGCTGCCCATATTTGTTGAGAACTAAAAAAATACTCTAAATAAAATTGGTTAATTTTTTCTTCAGTAGCTAGTTTTGGGCACTCTAATAGCTAGACTATTATTTATGTTGAAATCAATTATTTTTTGTCATGCCAAACATTTTTTTAAATTTAATTTGGTTTCAATGTTTTTAGTATGAACATTTTTTTACGTATTTGAATTTGTTAATAAGTTTGGATATTCTTGCCGCTCAGTTTGAACATTTACGTGACTCAATTTGAAATGTTTTACTAATGAAATTTTGTGCTATCTTTTATTTAGCTTTGAGAAAATATTAATTATTGCAATTTAATTTACTTAAAATGGAAAGATTGGATTAAAATTGACCAAGTGAGTAAATTTTCTAATGCCCTTAAATTTTTTGTCCTGTGAAAATTAGATAAAATGACTGGCAAAAGGCAACTTCTTTTTGTATTTTGCATGCTTGTCAATAAATAAAATAAAATTTATTGAATTTTTATTATATGAAAACGCGTTGAATAATAGCTCTTTGAATCCACCATATTCAAACTTTGTGAGATTTATTACAAATCCTCCTTCCCCTCTTCTCTTTCATTTCATCTCTCTCTCTCTCTTCCTCGATTTCGCGCTTCTCTTTTCCGGGATTTCGCTTCCTGCTCTTGACAAATTCTGTTTGGTTGTTCTTGTTCGTGTTCTTGATTTCTGTGAAATCTGTCTGAGTTTACTTCGATTTCAGTTTCTGGTTAATTTTTTCCCGTGAGCTCTGTGAATCTGTTGATTTTTCATCCCTCGTTTGAGGTGATGCGTAATGGATTTTCTCGGTAACCAAACAAGCAGTAGCAGAGGTTTTCAGAATCGCAAAGTGTTTCTTACATTGATTTTCCTTTTGCTTTTCTCCGGCGTTTTTAATACGATTGCAGAAGCGCATGTTCGTCAAGGAATCAACTCCAATCGCTCTGGTATTTTCGGAATCGAATTGCCGGAAAATCTCAGCTCCGGTATTGCATCTTCCTCCGCGAGCGCTCCGTGTAGTTTCGGTAATGAAGATGGACACGAAGAGGAAGAAAATTTAATGGCGGATTCGGTTAAGCAATCAGTGAAGCTCCACTTGAAAAAGCGGTCAACGAATCGAGCGACGGAACCGAAAGAATCAATCACCGAATCTGCAATTAGGGATTTGGCGAGAATCCAGACTCTTCATAGGAGAATCACTGAGAGGAAGAATCAAGACACGACTTCGAGATTGAAGAAGAGCAATGCCGAGCAGCGGAAACCGGCGGAGGCGGTTACTCCGGCAGCATCGCCGGAATCTTACTCCGATTACTTCTCCGGCCAGCTTGTGGCTACTCTCGAATCCGGCGTCAGTCTCGGCTCCGGAGAGTACTTCATCGATGTCTTCGTCGGTTCTCCGCCCAAACACTTCTCTCTGATTCTCGATACTGGAAGCGACCTAAACTGGATTCAATGCGTCCCTTGCCACGATTGTTTCGAGCAAAACGGGCCGTATTACGATCCGAAAGATTCAATTTCTTTCAGAAACGTTACCTGTAACGATCCTCGATGTCAATTGGTTTCGTCTCCAGATCCTCCGCAGCCGTGCAAATTCGAGACGCAATCGTGCCCTTATTTCTACTGGTACGGCGACAGTTCGAACACCACCGGCGATTTTGCGCTCGAGACGTTCACCGTCAATCTCACCTCGTCGGYGACGGGGACGTCGGAGTTCCGGCGGGTGGAGAATGTGATGTTCGGATGCGGCCACTGGAACAGAGGCCTCTTCCACGGCGCCGCCGGATTGTTAGGGCTCGGCCGTGGCCCTCTCTCGTTTTCATCGCAGCTTCAATCGCTCTACGGCCATTCCTTCTCCTACTGTCTCGTCGATCGAAACAGCGATACAAGCGTGAGCAGCAAGCTGATTTTCGGCGAAGATAGAGATCTATTAGCGCATCCAGAACTGAATTTCACATCGCTGATCGGAGGAAAGGAAAATCCAGTCGACACATTCTACTATCTGCAAATCAAATCGATCTTCGTCGGAGGAGAGGAGCTCAAAATCTCCGAGGAGAACTGGAACCTCTCCGCCGACGGCGGCGGCGGAACAATCATCGACTCCGGCACCACTCTCAGCTATTTCTCCGATCCGGCTTACCAGACAATCAAGGAAGCATTTCTGCGGAAAGTGAAAACCTACAAACTGGTGGAAGATTTTCCGATTCTGCATCCTTGTTACAACGTCTCCGGCGCCGAGAAACTGGAATTTCCAGAATTCGAAATCCACTTCGCCGACGGCGCCGTGTGGAAATTCCCGGTGGAGAATTACTTCATCAGAATCGAGCAATTGGATATCGCGTGCTTGGCGATGTTAGGGACTCCAAAATCGGCGCTGTCGATCATCGGAAATTACCAGCAGCAAAATTTTCACATACTGTACGATACGAAGAACTCGCGGCTGGGCTACGCGCCGATGAGATGTGCCGAAGTTTAACTTAGCAGGAAGACGACAGTTCTAAATTCTAATTTGTATTATTAATATTCTTATTTTTTTCTTTTTTTGAGTATTAATAATTTAATTTGTCTCCTCAAAGGAGAGGGAATATACAGACCTTGGCTGATTTTGTAGTAAAAAAACAACAGCATTATTCTTTTTTTTTTCTCTTTTAAGTTTGGTTTTTTTCTTTTCCTATTCTTAGTTGTTATAATTTATTTGTATAGCAACACAAATAAGTTTGGTTATTGAATTTTGTTTCTTGCTTTCTTAGTAGTTATATGGTCTATCTAGGAAGTATTACGCTTATAACTGTTATTAAAATAATATTTCATATAAATATTGGAGCGGACGAATATCTAAACCCATGATATTTTTTAAGACAAATAAACATAAAATATTAATTTTCTTAAAGGAAACATATTTGATTTTTTTTGTTTACTTCTTATTTTTACTGTAATAGAATAATATTTATGATTTWAAAAAAAAAGAATAATATTTATGTGATTACCTATTTGGCATACTACATTAAAAATTGATACTTATGAGAGATTAATACGTAGAGGGAGAGAGAGAAAATATAATAAATTGCTGTCAATTTTTTTTCTCTAAATATTGTTCTACTATTTAAAAAAAAAAGTGCTGAAGGTTAAATTGTACTTTTAATTTCTAAATTTTAACATGCTTTGTTTATTTCACTTGTATGAAAGTTTTGCTTTTGGTATCTACAATTTTTGGTTAATTACAATAAGAGTCGAACTATACAACAAAATTATGTTTATATAATCTCTAGATTAAAAGTGTAATTTACTCAAAATTAATCTCCATATAAATGTATCCCCTTGTTTAATAGCTGGCTAGAGATTTGCAAAGTTGGTTAGTTGCTTCCCTAAAATTTGAGATATTCTCACACTCTATTGTTTAACCTCSGAAGTGACATCCAACAAATTCTTCCCTCTCAAGTCTTTCTAAGGTTGGAACTCTAATAGCTCGTCACTCAATTATGCAATTAGTAGTAAACTTAAACGACAGATAATTTTGTTGAATCATGCAAAGTGCTTCCAAACTAACAATGAATTAATCTAAATTGGTCTTTGTGTTCAATATAAATCTAAGAAAGAACAGAACAACGAACTAATTTCACTGACATTTTTTTAGTACAATACGTGGGAGTTTGAGATTCAAACTCATGACCTTTTAAGTTGAACTATGCTTAAATTGACCTAATTTTATTAATATTTATTAAATGAGAATGCGTAGTTTTTATTTTAAATATACTTATACTAATTTTCTTATTTTAATATTGATCTTTAGGGAGCCCACATATGAATATCAGTGGACTATCTCAATTAACCTCTTAAAAAAACCTTCAATTTTACAGGCTTGCATTATACACACCATTTTAAAAAATTTGTTAGCCCAGATAAAAGTAAGAAGAAAAATTTCAAAATTATCCTTTATATTATGTCATGGTCAAAAATTACCCTTTACATATAAATATGAAGTTGTGTTTTTTTAGTACTAACACGTATGCATTAAGTAGTGTCGATTTTTATTAGATAGTCATTTAAGCCATATAGTATTTGTAAACACATTTGGTCTCTCATCATTTTATTGATATACATATGTAAGAAACCCCATTAAATCTTAACAACATTTTCTACTATATAAGCTAAATCGTTATAAAGTTTAAACTACAAAAACTTATTTGTTACATCCTTAAATTTAGGTAGTAAATCATTATCAATTTAAAAGTATAAGAAATAAATCGTTACAAACTAAAATGAAGGAACTAAATCTTTATTTCATAAAAAAAGAAGAAGAGATTTTTAAYCTTAAAAAAAAAAAAGATATGCAACAATATGATAGATATTGAAACTTGAAAGTAAACCATTTCGAGTGATTACATATGGGTCGGGCCGGTCCATATACTTGTTCGGCCCAATTTCAAAGCAGCAGCTTAGGTTTTACATAATCGCTCACAAGCTCGTATCATTCATTTGGCTATCGTCTACCAGAAGGATCAAATCGAAGCACCGTTGCGGATCTCTCAAATCCTCCGACTCCAAGAAATGGTCACGTTCAGAGTAAGAATCTGCTCCCATGAACACCCAAATCTCCTCGAATCGGATTAGATTTTGCATTATTTTTGCAATATTTTTCTTTCTGCTAAGAATGCTTTTGCTTTATATGATTATCGTTTTTGTTCATTAGATTCACTTGAATTTTCTCCCTCTARATCCCACTTTAACTTGCAACGCTTTGATCTGTTTTGAATTTTGTTCTCTCTCAGTTTCACCAGTACCAGGTCGTGGGGAGGGCGCTTCCTTCTGAAGCGGATGAGCATCCCAAGATCTACCGGATGAAGCTCTGGGCTACCAACGAGGTCCGTGCCAAATCCAAGTTCTGGTATGTTACTGTTCTGTTCGTCGACATTTCTTTAACGGGGTTCGAACAATTATGCTTATCTTGATCCTATACAATAGCCTTTGCAGTTACATAATAAGAGGTTTATTAGTGAATTCAGTATTGTCAATGTGATTCTTTCTACAAATTCAGGAGGCGGTTTGAATAATTATGATTATCTTGATCCTTTAGTCCTAGTTCTTATTGTTACATAGTAAGGATTTCTAGTGGATCTAGTGTTTTCAATGTGATACTTTCTGCAAATTTTGCAGGGGGTGATTATGCTTATCTTGATCCTATAGTGAATAGTCCTAATTCATTAGTTGGTATAGTTACACAGCTAGGTTTATCGGTGGATTTAATATTATCAATGTTATTCATTTTTAAAATTCATAGAATTGTACAACTCTGTTCATTTGATATTGTAATTTCAAATTTCAAAGTTGTTTATCCTGCAATGGATTGGAGTTTTGGTTCTTTTCCTTTTTCAAGTTTTTTTAAGCATTGCGTATGTTTTAGTTATACTGTTTGCTTTGGGGGAAGATGGATATTCTGATTTTCTGATCCTCACATTTGGATAGGTACTTTTTGAGAAAGTTGAAGAAAGTCAAGAAGAGCAATGGTCAAGTTCTTGCCATTAACGAGGTATTAGATCTGAAACACACTTCTATATTTTATTTGTTTATCCTGTGACCGTCACTAGGAAATTGAGCTAGTTTCAGCTTCTTGGAGTTCAGTTCAAATGCATTGGGTTTCTTTTGTTTATGAAGCCTTTCTGTTTTAGAGACGTTAAATCTGGTATATCATTCCTTAAGACGAAAAAAAACATGTCAGGTTTCTTCATTATCGAATGTCTACCAGTCTTGATGTATGCTTGCTATTTCTGTCATATGCTTGTGGCTTCTTAAGGAGCAAGTGATTGATTTCCTAGAAATTTTATGCTTATACGTATTTACGTATGTACATGCATAAATTTATACATAATAAATTTGTATAATTGAAGCAACTGCTGTTTCATTTTGAATGTTTACTCCTAAGTGAACTTTCAATGGTATTTTACTGTAATTGGCTTCTGAGTGATGATGAGTTTGGTGGTTAAAGATTCTAGTTGGCTGTTATTAGTTCTTATATAGGATTAGGATTGTACATGATTATTCATATAACGTTATGTAAGTTTCTGGTCTGCAAATAAGCCTTCCCTTTCCATCTTTTAGTTCCCTCCTCAAATGTCGTGTTGCGTCCATGTTCTAAGTTATAATACAACCAATAATCCTCTCGCCTTCGGTTCGCAAATTGTAGATTTTCGAGAAAAACCCAACCAAGGTCAAGAACTATGGTATTTGGCTGCGGTATCAGAGCCGAACTGGTTACCACAACATGTACAAGGAGTATCGGGATACGACATTGAACGGGGCTGTCGAGCAAATGTACATTGAGATGGCATCTCGCCATCGGGTGAGGTACCCGTGCATCCAAATCATCAAGACAGCAACTGTTCCTGCAAAACTGTGCAAGAGGGAGAGTACCAAGCAGTTCCATGACTCAAAGATCAAATTCCCGTTGGTGTTCAAGAAGGTGAGGCCACCCACCAGGAAGCTCAAGACAACTTACAAAGCATCTAGGCCCAACTTGTTCATGTAATTCTGCTCATCTTTGGCCTCTCTTCTATGGAAACATTTGATTATTGATTTTGGTAGATTATAGAAACTTCAACAAGTAGATGAGATTTCCGCGAAACAATTCATTTTTCTAGCATGATTATTCTGCTGCTAGAAGTAAAACTTTCACCTTTCAGAATCGAATAAAATAAAGCTGGTTTGTTTGTTTTCGCCTTTTCACATCTTTATATATTAATATCTTTTTCTTTAATTAATTTTAAAGCTTTTTCTTTTTTCCATTACGTATATATTTAGGCTAAATAAAGAGAAAAATTAATTTTTAACGGTTTATTAGTTTTATTTAATCTAATTACTATTTACCATGGAAATGTTGAAGTCAAGATCGATAAAATTATAATATGTAGAGAGGTATTAGTTTTATTTAATCTAATTATTATTTACCATGAAAATGTTGAAGTCAAGATCGATAAAATTATAATACGTAGAGAGGTGAGATGGTAAAAGATGATTAAWATTAATATTWCGATTGATATTTTTCACATTTTGTTTGATTTTTTTGTAATACAATAGAAAGCTCAATTTACCTCATTTACTGCCATGTTTACCACAACCCAACGATTTTAACTAACTTGAAAACTGAAAAGGAAATATAATAATTACTAATTACTATATAACATACATAAAATTTGGCGCGCGGATTCGGTTGAAGGCGAGGGATTTTCCCGATTCCTCAGTCCATTTCGTCTTTGAAATTTATTTGGGGAAATCGATTTTTATGTTTCCAATCCATTCTCGTTCAGTCAGGGATTTATTTTTCTTATTCGATTAAATTTCCTGGAAAATTTTACCCTCGCAATTTTGAATCGAACAAAGGGGAAAAGAAATCAAATCACTCGAACCAGAAATGAAGAACTGCAACACTATAATGACGGTTTCTCTTTCTCTCAGCGAAAAAGTGTACCGAATTACAGCACAGTGGGGACTGGAGAAGAAAACGAGCAAATAAAATTATGGGAGACCGTGGCCGGTGCCTTCGACGCTCGATTTTTTCTCTTCTATTTTATTCTGTGAGCTCTCTTTCGATTGTAGTTAATTTCTTCTGCATATAATTTATTTTCACGAACATGTTGATGATGCTGGGAAATTTTAGGGTTAGATGATCTGAATTTCATTGACCTTCGATTTTGTTCGTTTCAGAAAAAAACAAAAGATGAGTTGGTATTGGTTAAATGGGCAACAGTTGGTGTGCAGCCACCTGAATCTGACTTAAATTGTGCAGTGGTAGGTGGAATTTTACAAGCTGGTGGTAGGTGGGAGCGGAGATGGCTGACCACCGACCTCCACTTGTTGGTCTATTTTTATGCAAATTTCCTGAAATCTCACTTGTTTTCTGTGCTACCATTTTGATTTCTCATTTTGCGCTCTTCGATCGAATCGATCCAGAATTTCGACTTCGGAATGGCGCAGCAAGTTGTTAACCCTGATGGAGAGGTACTTTCTTGTCTGCATCTACCRCTTTTTGGGATACAACCATTTGTTTTATTATGAATTTCTGACCATTTTTCTTGCTTGCTTACGGTTGCAAAATGTTTCCCTCTGTCATAAGTTTTGTGGGAGTTTCTCACTCTTTTGATCACTAAATGTTTGTTCGAAATCAAACATTCAGGTTGTTCTGGGAGAAGAAATTGAGCATGTAAGGCTGGTCACGTTGAACAGGCCTAGACAATTGAATGTCATCTCATCCAAAGTGGTATGTAAATTTAACTCCACTTAATTGGACTGTTGATGATTGGTCTCCAGTTCTTGAAATTTAGTGATGAACTAGGACTTTCCTCTCTGTCTGTTTGTGTGTGCATGTAGGTTTCTTTGCTGGCTGGATACTTAGAAAAATGGGAAAAAGACGATGAAGCAAAACTTATAGTCATTAAGGTCAGTTCCATCATGTATGCTCAAGAAAATATTGATTTGTTGCAGATGGTCTTAGGGGGCTTATCCAAACTGAGGATATGATAGGAATGGATGGCAAMGGGGTGGGGCGGGTCTGGCCACGTTGGGGATTTTCTCCCATCCCCGTCCCCAAAATTTTTGGGGTAGGGACGGGGACAGATCGGGGATTCACCGATCGGAACCCGTTCCCCGTTATAAATATGTATATATTTTTTTCTTTTAATTTTTAATTGTTTAAATTTATTTTTTCTTATCACTAGTATAATAAGGGAAGAAAAAGTAGATAATTTTTTCTTTTAAGGTACAGTACACCACCTCTTGGTGGTGCATCAATTATAGGAAATTTTTTTGTAATTACAACCTTTTCATGGTCATGAACAATTGGAAAGAGTTTGTCTAGTTCTTTGGGTGGGGTTCTCTCTACCCCGCCCTTAGGTTGTTCCCCTTTGGTTTTTGTTGGAATGGAGAAAGTTTCTTATCTAAATAAATAAAACAAAAGTAGATAAATAGGCAATTGGACTTGAGCCTTTTATTTTTAAATAATAAAAAGTATTTATAAAAATTAATATATATTAATATTATTATATATAAAAATTATTAAAATACTAAASGGGGCAGGGATGGGGACCTCGATTAGGATCCCCGGTTTGACCCCGTCCCCGATCAAACCGGAGATTCCCTGATCCGATCGGGACAGGTACCTGCGGGGATTGGGTCCCGCAGATTTTTTTGCCATCTCTCGATAACCCAAATAAATAACCATCTTAATTTTTTGGAACGGTGTTTCTTTTGAAATAGGGATCTGGTCGAGCCTTTTCTGCTGGTGGGGACTTGAAGATGTTCTATGATGGCAGGAATACAAGTAGGTTCTAGTTTTCTTTCAATACAGAGGAAAATAGTAAAATCTAACACTTAATCCATTATCCCAACCATGAAGATATGTMACATTCTGCAGTCTAAATCCCACTCTTTAACAGAATGAGAGCTATGAATTTGGTACTTAAATTTCAATCTTCACCATGTTTTTGACAGAGGATTCGTGCCTTGAAGTTGTGTACCGAATGTATTGGCTCTGCTATCACATTCATACCTACAAGAAAATCCACGTAATGAATTTTCTGACCCCATTAGAGAAAAAGTGTTGAGCAAAATTTTGGTTAAGTTAAATATTTGGTTCTTGTGCTCGTCTTAATCGCAGGTTGCACTTGTACATGGAATTTCAATGGGAGGAGGTGCATCGTTCATGGTGCCGATGAAATTTTCAGTTGTCACAGAGAAAGCTGTGGGTTTTTTTTTCCCTGTCGACTGTCTCCTTATATGTTCCTTGATTTATACGTTTGGTTTCAACTTCCATAGTAATTCCCAAGTGATCACTTTCATGAATTCCTTGATATAGGTTTTTGCCACTCCAGAAGCAAGTATTGGGTTTCACACCGATTGTGGTTTCTCATATATACTTTCTCATCTGCCTGGATATTTAGGTAACTTCGCAGTCAGTAATATAATAAAAATTTGTAGAGTTGAGATTATGGACCTTACTCTCATCCATTTATTCTACAAAATTTTCTATTGATGTTCATAATTTCTTTCTGGAAAATTCATCAACATCATACATAACTTCTCTTGATTTTAACTTTTTCCTTAGTATATGCAGATCTCCATGTTATCTTGCGAGGAGAAAAAAAAATCAGTGAAAGTGGGGGTACAACATAATAAGAAATCGACTGATTAAATAACCATGTGGTTATATGCAGGAGAGTACTTGGCCTTAACAGGATCCAGGTTGAACGGCAAGGAATTGGTTGCAGCTGGACTTGCAACACATTTTGTCCCTTATGAGGTTAGTTAACCCTTTTCTACTTCTCTAGCTACACCTGTAATCAGTAATGAAAAACATAATTTATGATCAAAGTGTT